CTCTTTCACACTTTCTTCATGCATGCCCTCCATTCATAACTTTGATCATCCACTAAGGCTTTCAGTGCATACAGAGTATTTTAAAGCTGAAAGCACAAGTACATCAACAGCAAGCAGAAAAATGAAACTGTTCACATAAATATACAGTGCTGCAAATTGTAAAGGACAACAAAGTTCCGTCATTTCTAGCTAACTCCAGAAAATGCAGCATCTGTTGAAAAACATGTTTTATTATTTGCTTTATTATTTGCTTGTTTGTTTTGAGGTTTGTTTGTTGTTTTTTTTTTTTTTTTTTGGTTTTTTTTTTTTTTTTGGGGGAAAAGGGGGGAATTTTTTTTTTTTTGCTTGGATATTGCTTGAACTACTGAGTATTACAAAGTCTTCCATAAAACTGTTTCTACCTAAGATTTTTCAAAGATGGAAGAGATTCAGAAAAACGTAAACTATCCTTTACATATAAAAATTGCTTTAGATTAGCCCAAAATACTACATGAAAATGAAGAAATCCCTCAGTTGAGATGATGCCAGCAAAAGAGATCCATTTTATCTAGCATAAGGAGATCTCTGTTCCAATTTCTATCCTGTATTACCCATCACCTGTATCACCATCAAATATTGAAATAAGGAAAACTCCTTCTATCACCTTTAATAAATTACAAAGGCTCTTTTGTCCATTACCCTCAATTCCATTAGTATTTACCTATAAGTCATTAGAGCAAACTATGAACTCTTTCACCTTCTGTGTATTATTGAAAGATTCTCGATGTATGGTACCTCATAGTAAGATAGAGACATTCATGAGCATATAATGTACCCATAGAGGAACAGCAACTGTAAAAATGTCAACATCACTATTACACAAAATCATTCTTCCCATACAAAGACCATAGGTGCAATAATCTTACTTATTCTAACACACATCAGGTAAGCCTGTTCTGTTCAGTATGTAGTTGCTTTAGTATGCCTGCTTCCGAGGGTCAAGTCAATCTTTTTACTTGTTGTTTTGCTTTCCTATCTCAAGCCTGATCACGTCTTCTTAGGAAATAGATATAGAAGGAGGAGATGATACATTATTTGTAAAACTGGCAGTTAGACCCCATAGGTTTAATGTACCTTTCCTAAGGTCACTTAGCCTCTTTCACTTTTTTACACTACATAAAAAGAATGGCATTGGCTCTTTTTTCCACTGCTAACTTCTGCTACTGTTTGACCAGCTACCCTGCACGTTTTTCTCTCTGAGAATGCTCTGCCTCATAAATATTTTTTGACTCATTCCATCTTCAGTCTTCCTTAGCTGTATTTGTTACTGACCGCATCTTACTCAATCTAATGATAATGGTTACATTTTTCAGGTTTTCATCCTTTTAATGTCTCAAAGTAATTTGTTTCTTGAGCTCACCTCCTCAAAATCCTCAGTCAGTAATGAAAAAGGGGAGCAGCTTTCTACAAAGCTGTCAGTAAAAATCCACCAGGGAGAAGACAAGTTGAATCCCCAACAACATTTAATGACTTGCTCATTTTCCTCCCCATTTCCTTTACATTACACATGGGAACCTTATACACCAACAAGAATCACTACAAGCATGGCAACAACACTTACTGATCATACCATGCTTCATGTTTTCTTGCAAATGTTTACTGTCCAACCTTTCTAATCCCTGCTGACTGTGTGCTGTCAGCTCTTTAGTCCTATTTCTGTCATTTAAACCTCCATAGCACCTTTTCTCACAAAATCTAAGTAACCTCTAGTAAACTTTCTGCCAAATTTTTCTGCAAAATCTCCCGTATTCTTTCTGGGACCAGTGCAAAGGACCGGAAATTTCTTTTTTTTAATAAAAATAACTTCAGAATTAATTAATCTGAATTAATATAAGTGCAGTAGCAAGTCTTTAAAACTTCATGTAACCCTGGAATGACAGAGTATGACTATTTTAAGGGGCTGCAGCGGGGCAGATACCCATGGATGGGTTATCCATTCTTCTTGAGAGGACACATTGTTCAAAACACAACTGGCTTCCTTAATCTCTATTTGCTATTTTAAATCAGTGATGAAACACAAAAGTACTCTGAGACTACAAACTGAATGATGATCCTTCTCTATATATTTCCATCTATATTTCACTCAGTCTTACATAGTTGGCTAACTGACAAACTTATAGAATAGTTCCAGTTGGAAGGGACCTACAATGATCATCTAGTCCAATTGCCTGACCAATTCAAGGCTGACCAAAAGTTAAAGCAAATTATTAAGACCATTGTCCAAATGCCTCTTAAACACCGACAGGCTTGGGTCATTCATCACTTCTCTAGGAAACCTGTTCCAGTGTTTGACCACCCTCTCTGTAAAGAAATTTTTCCCAATGTCATCTGAACCTCCCCTGACACAGCCTTGAACCATTCCCACGCATCCTATCCCTGGAACCCAGGGAGCAGAGATCAGCACCTCCCTCTCCACTTCTCCTCCTCAGGAAGCTGCAGAGAGCAATGAGGTCACCCATCAGCCTCCCTTTCTCCAAACCAGACAAGCCCAAAGTCCCTAGCTGCTCCTCATAGGACATGCTTTCCAGCCCTTTCACCAGCTTTGTTGCCCTCTGTTGGATGTATGCAAAGACCTTAACAACAGAATCTGGCATTTGTTCTTGTTAAATTTCATGTTACTGATGACCTCCCTATGCTCTAATCTCTCTACATCTCTCTGCAAGGCCTCTTGTCCCTCAAGAGAGTCAACAGCACCTCTCAGTCTAGTATCCTCAAACATTAGACCAATATTAGTCCAAATACTACTGTGGAGTGCTGTACTCTCTGTACCGTTGTGAAGAATAAAGCTCTGGTCCACCATTACAGCTCTACATTTTATTCACAGTAAGAATAATCATCTTTCTGGAGATAAAAGCAATGGTATGTCACTCATTCACTCACTTTATATTCTCATTTGAAGGTACTTCTGGAAGTTCCACAGTTATCATGCCATCTAAGTTGGTCTTTCCAATGAAGACTGGCTTGGTACGAAGCACGTCTGGTGCAGTCTTTGCCGTCACTCTATGCTGAAGACCTCCAGCACTATTCCCTCTGTTTGTCAGCACAAACGAGTATGATGTCTCTGGCTTCAAGTTAGTGATCAGCTTTTGTGTAGCACGTCCATCAACCTCCACCACCATTTTCCCATCATCATAAAGGATCTAAGTTAATATATAAATTGAAGTTGGTTTTGGTTACTACGAGAAGGCAACTGATACTGTCACACTGAATTAAGGAATGAACCTAGCTATACATTGAAAATTAATGTTACTGGGCATTTTAGGCTGGAAGACAGTACTGAATTCACTACTGCAATTAAACTTCTTGCTTTCAGGGAAAAAAAAAAAAAAATGAACTACATTACTTTAAAGCAGTGTAAGCATTCCTAAAATGCAATTTTACTTATTAAAATACAGTAGTTTCCCTTTAATCCAGCATTTATATCAAGCCAGATTGTTGTGAAAGGTACCTTGACTTTTTAATTCACACTGCTTATTCAAAAAGGTTTTTGCAACATTTCGTTACTAAAATACTGCTCTTCAGTTGCCAGTGCCCGAAATGACACAAGTGATGAAGAATGATGCAGGAGAAATGAAAGCCATACTGCAAGTTCCACTGAGTCTCTTTACCTGACTAATACTGTAGTTAGTGGAGTAAAAGAGTCATAACATAAAAATGTGTTAAATGTGAGAAGATAAGCATCAAAATGGCACTCAGTTACAGTCATGACAGAAAAAAAAAATATTCTTTTATTTCACTGCTTTCTCTGCTATACAGTGGCAACAAATTACAAACTAGCAAGATGTTCATACCATGCATAATAACCAGTATGCATCTGATTTGGAAATACTGCCACAACAGTGGAAAGCTCATATTGCCCAATAACTGAATTTAACAGTTTGGGTCGATACTGCTGAGTAGTTTGCATTCTTAAACACAGCTATACCAAAATACTTAACATGTTCAGTAAGCTAATTAATGAGGTGAATGACATCCTCTAGGTTCTGTATTTTCTCTCGTACAAATGTAAAGTAACTTACTTTGAAAGGCAAGGCTGAATTGTAATTTTCTGGAATTTCCCAGGACAGCAAAACAGAAGTCTTCATTACTGCTTTAACATGAAAATTTTTTGCAAACACTGCTGGAAAAAAAGAAACAATGTATATAAACAACATCTTACCGCTTAGATCTTGTCATATTTCCACTGCTACCTGCGAGTATTAGATTTCCATTTAGGTCAAAAGGCAACAAGGATTCAATTTTCCTACCTGTTTTGCTCATATTTAAAGATCACATTTTAACTCATTCTCATTCTTATCTAGTGACAACCCAACACACACATTTTCCTTACCTGAAAAAATTGTGAAGATGTTAGCCAGAACTTGCTTGGCAAGGGACAACTGAATTCTAAGGCATCCAAAACATAATAAGATTTACATACTTTACCTTTTCTGTTTGAAGAACCTATTTTTATGAATGGGCTGGTCAGTTTTATTTACAGCTTCAAAAACACTGATATCCAAAGACCGATACTCCTTTAAAGGTCAACGCCATAAGCAGACAAATCCTACCTTGATCCACAGGTAGTGTCCTGAACTGGACACTTGGACTATATGGACCAGGCCCTTTGCTTGTGTGGGCACGTACTTTTACATCATATGTGGTATCTGGTTTTAAGCCAGAAAGTGTCATAGTGGTCAACAGGGAGTTCAACTGGCTGGTAAGCAACATTGATATCTCTGTACAAGATGGTATATTTGGTGATAATGCCATTTCTCTCTGCCAAGAGTGGCATCTGCCAAGTTAATTGAACTGATGTAGAAGTAGAGCTTTCCGACTGGAGATTTTGGGGAAATCCACTGGGCACCTCTTCAGGAACAGAAATCTCCTTAACCGTCTCTTCCCCAAAGCCCACTTTATTTCTAGCTGAGAGCCTGAAGACGTAAGAAGCTCCTTTGTGAATGTCTGTGGCCGTGAAGTGATCTTCCTTCTCTGAGAACTCCATGGTTGTAAATGTATCCATGTCTTTGCGACCAAACTTCAGGAGATAACCCTGCAGCGGGCCAAAAGTGTCCACAGGAGGGTGCCACTGAATTAGAGCCGTGTTCATCTGTGTGTGGCTAATCACAAGCCGAGGTTTGCCTGGAACTGTAGCACAATGTTATTTAAAGATGATAAATACTAACAGAATTGTGTGTACAACTCTTGAGGCTAGTTTTAACAGGACTAGGGATAAATTTTCTCTACCCTCACTCTTAGCTCCACAAATTACTATCTTAGAGAAGAAATAATGTCCACCTCCTGCACTACTGAGTCATACCGTATAATGAGCTATGATAGTAAAGCCCTTTACTGTTTCCTGTCTTCTTCCCTTACCATTATTTCTAAATTCAGAGAACACTCAGAGGACACAAGTCAAGAAGTAAAACTTCAAACAGACATCTTATGAATGGTTCTGTCTCACTTACAAATCCTTGCTTGCAAAAAAAAGAGTATTGTCATAAGTATTCATTAATTTAATCCAATGCATATTTCTGCCATTCCTGTAAATGGAAAAATAATCAATGATAATAATAGTAGTAGTAATAATAATATTAATGGAGAAAATGCAAGTTTCTGGATGTATCTAACATAACTTTTGCCATTAACAGTTAAAATGTGGTAGAAGGGAAGCCAGACCAACCTTGTCATCAACAATCATTACTACATATGACAGAACCATTCCCACTGTTTCAGCTTGGAGTGGCATACAGTTTGGAATTTAATTTCTTGATTGTCCTAGCTTATCACACACAATTTAGTTTCCAGCATGGTCTTGGTGCATGTGAACTGAATTTCTTCTGAAGAAGACTAAATTGGAAGCTCTTCCTAACCCACACATCAGATACCCTCAAATTCTTAATTGGGACCTGGTTCAAACTGATGATTTGTCTTTTAGAGAAGTTCAGATTGTAAATGTGGTGAGAACATTCAGTCTAGAGGATTGAATTAGCCCTAATCGAATGGGAAATCCCATTGCACAACTTATATTGTGTACATTCCAGATATCAGTTGCTCTCATTTTCTGTTTCTATTTAATTTATAGACGTATGACTTATTTTTATTTATTCATTCATTTATTCATATTCATTTATATAAATATATATTTCATTTATATTTTCATTAATATTTCTATTTCAAAAAAGTCTGCTTCTATTACAATGACTGATTTGACAATGAAGCATTTCCATAACTATTTTGAAATTTAGTGTTCATTGTGTACCAATACCTGACAGGTCAAGAGACTAGAATAGTTTTGGGAGTAGCAGTGCCATGATAACATGGTCTTCCGTGAAGACCAGTTAGTCTAATCCGCATTCAAAGGCTTCCCATGTGAATGTAACTGCTGCACTGTGAACTCTGGTTACTGTACTTAAACACTTCAATAGATTTTATTATTTATCTTCAGTTCTCAGGCACCCAGCAAATCAATTCTTATTGTTAGAAGTTCTGACTACCATTCCATAATAAATTAGGAAAAAGGAGGTAGGAATGGCACAGCTTGAAGAAAATTCTGCATTTAATAAGCTCTTTCCTCATTATATCTGTCCTAAGTCATGACATTGCTTCTAATTGCACAGGTATCACAGCTGATGTTCCAAACATCTTTCCTTTTAAATGTTAGTTCACCTGCAAGTGTTATTCCCAGGAGTTTTACACGTTTTGTACTATGCTTTTTGCTGAGTAAAGAATATCTCTCTGACTAGTTCTGACTTTCCCTCATTGATTATTATGAGCCTTTATGGAACAAAGAAAAGGTTGTGAAGGCCTTTTGCAGGCCATATTTTTCTCTATATTATAACTATTACTGAAATGAATGGAGCATACAAAAGAGAAAAAAAGTCCACACAAAGAGAATAACTCCTTCACTTTTCTATATGAGAGACTCTTTGAAGGTGCTACTACATTATTTTTGTGATAAGTTGCTTTTTTTTTTTCTTGTGGCAGACCTCACAGTTAGAACTATTTTTTAACCTTTGTGGTAACTACATAGTAAGAAAGAAATTACTACTTGCTCTTGATCAGAATGGGGGAGCTAATAAAGCTTACTTATCCAATAAAATACCCTGTGATTAAAATGGTAAATAACAATGTTTTATTTTTTTAATATGGAGCCTATCTAATTTTGTGAAGTGTTGAATTTTCGTTTTGTTAACACACAACTATTGATAGAGAGAGAAAATCCTTTTCTTTCTCTCTTTTTATTCCCAGATAGCTTTCAGTTAACATTTTATTTTAGAAGGATCACTTGTGAACATTACAGTCTTGTGGGACAAACAGCAGGATTCTCTGCAGTCCTATGTACAGTAGCATCACAAAATAGCTCAGTCTAGAAACTTCCAATCATAATACCTGAATTTGCCATGAGCCCAAATGAAACTGCCCATGAAAAAATATATTCTCTGCTCTAGTCCAGCTCTGTAAATACACAGCAAGCTGTCCCTCACATACCCCTTTGCCACAGCCATTACACCAAACAGTTGTAAGGGTATGTCATGACTAATAGAAGCTCATGCAAGCTGCCTTTGCCAAATTACCTGAAGTAATTTGTTTCTGTTAGCTGTGATACAGTACACCACTGTCTTAACATAAATTTTCTCCTCTTTGCTGAAATCTGTAATTTAAGAGTGCTGTCCAGCACAGAGAGTAAGTTCCAAACAATGGACAAGCTGTTGTGCTATAAGATTCTTCAACTACTATGACCCAGACATTAAAGGTCTTATTAAATTCTCCGTGAAAATTGTATGATATCACTGACTAGTAAGTCTCAATTTTTATAAAGTCTTGTAAATTATTTTGTAAAGTGTATTTTGTAGCTTCTGCTCCAACTAATTTATAATTTTCAAACACTTTGACTCAGAAATGTCCAGTAACACTTTTTCTTCCATCTGATTTCAAAAAACTAGGAACAGAAACTGAGTAAGACAAAAACACATTCTGAAATGAATATATTAACAGCACTTCACTCATGACTGCAGTTACTCTATTGCAGGCTCACTTACACTTGGTGAATCTTTCCCACATGAAAATGTAAATTATGCATTTATATCACTGCCTGGACACAGGAAAATAGTTATAAATCTGAATAACTTATGAATAGTAAGCTTCTCCAGTAAACACCTAGACCTTTATTCTCCTTTCACATCTCTTACGGATATAGCCTCACTCATTCTAATACAGCTGCACCTGACTTAAACCTTTAAAATTAGACTAGAGAGGCAGAACCTTCATTTGCTTTATTGTAATATTTGAATAGCACCTTTTTAGGTAAAGAAAGTCAAACGGAAACTCTTAGAGACTAGCAGGGTGTATTTCAGACTTACAAGCCCCTGATCCTAATGCATCATTCCTTCACGTGCCTGACGTATTGTCACAGAAAGACAGAGAGCTGCCAACTCTTGGTACTGACTATATTTATTGTCTCCTTTTCCAAAAATCTGTATATGAATTTTCCTTATAAAAAGAGCTCAACCACAGCAAGCTGTAACAGCAAGTGAAGAGGTTATACAACCTGGAATGTACAAAGGAACAAAATTGTGACTAGCTGTTATCCTAGAGATCAGGAACAAACATTACTCCTCCACAGGGTGAAGCAAACAACTAGAACAGTGTAATGTTACAGGCATGCCTCTGATTCTCAATTGCTCTTCAGTCACTCAGGATTTCACGGGACATGGGATTTGTTTGTCTTTCTAAAGCAGAAGCATCTTAGAAGAGCAAAACATGAACAGTCAACAAGGACTAAATGCACAGAAGCTTTAAGTTTTGCAAGCAGGTTTGCATAGCCTATGTTTATGTCTAGAAACTAACCAAATCATAATCCATATAACTGTGTTTATTTAAACTGGCAATTCAGAATATATATCACTTTTTTTCCTAGACCATGAGAATTCAGGAAGCATAAGAAATTGGAGGCTAGGTCTCAGCATCCGTCAAGAGTAACGATTAGAAGGGACTCTAAAATCTGCAATGAAACTACACAATATAGCTAGCCACCAAGACTGAGATTTTTCCAAGGAAGCTGATGAGACAAGGATAGAGATGTTTCTGATACTAGTATAAGAAGTGCTTTACGTTCAGTGATTGTTTTAAAAATTGAGTCAATCAGCACAAATACAAATACACGTGCCTTTTGGACTTATATATACTAGCATGAACAATACATTGTTATTAAGAAAGCTCATAATGGTGCTACAAAGATTTACATGTGATTGTAATGGAATATCCCTAATGGCTACACTACAAAACCCAGAAAATGAATACATACAGGTTGTGAACACCTGTAGGTGAACACTGCACTAAGGACTAAGGCTGTAGTGGCATAATTTGGTTAAGCTGTGCCACAGTGAACCATTTAAATTTAAAAAACTTTGTTCCTCATCTAAAAGCAATTCAATCTGTGCCATCAGTGCTAAGTGAACCAGTTGAACTGGTCAGGCACTCAGATACCCACCATCTAGTATGACCTGTGACCAAATGCAGACTGAACACAGTGGCACGGTGTATTTTGCCCCAGTTTATGCCTCAAATTGCCACTGAAGCAATATGGGTTTCAGGGTCTCACAGGCTGGACTTTCATTCTGTTTTCTAATTCCCTGCTTTAATAATCACATTCTTATAGAATCATAGAATGGTTAGGGTTCTGAGATAAGTTGTGACTGTCAAACAAGTAGATTCTTTCAATGTTCTTACTGACATGCAGCAGCATCGCTGCTCTCAGAAAGATCAGGAAAGTCATTCACAAGTTCTTCAAATATCTTTCTCAGCTCAGAATTTCTATTTCTTCCTATCCAAGAAAACATCAATCAGAATGGAAGAACTACTAAAAAGTATAAAGTTAATTATTACATTTTGGCCACATCTTGATCTGAGACAAGGACAAATGGGGACACTGGTTCTGTTTTTATCTAAATAAATGAAGGACCAAATACTGAAACAGAAAACCCTATGTTCTATGAACACTTTTTACAGAACAGGAGACTTCCAAATAGTAGGAGTAAAGCACTAGCAGGAAAAGGAAAAGGATTTAGTCAGAGATTAACGGGTATGTCAGTTTTACCTGCACCAGTAGTAGATACGAGTTTGGGCTTGCTGCGTGCTCCGTCACCTTTTGTTGTATAGGCTGTCACAATGAAGGAGTACGTAGTTTCAGGCTGTAGCCCAGAAATTACCATTTCCTAAGATGAAATAAAATAAGAACTTTTTATTAAAAATAGATTGTTTCCCAGGAGAGCATGGAACCCTTCAGATAACCCCTGTATACTACATACAGTGTGCATGCTTTTGTGCTACTTGCAGTGACAGTAAGCATTTGAGAGCACCAACAGACTGTTCTCTGTGAAATACTTCACGACGCAAGATGTTTCACTTGCTTAAGCAATAAAAGACGTCACACTTCTAAATAGCAAGCCTCAGGTAGTTTAAGGCACAGGGTCAAAGACTTAGTGGTGCAAGAAGTGAATAAAGCCTTCTGAAATACCTTGCCTAAGGAATACGACTGATATTGTGAAATGTATCCATGTGAGAAGCTCTGTTTAACTTAGTCATTTACAAGACATCACTGATATAGTTATAAAATGCCTAGTAAGAAGAGTCTTGCATTTGTATCCACACTTAGTAAGTAATGACAGTTTAGCTGAACAAGAAAGTCTCAATGCTTTCATAACAGTGTCATTGCAACCTGCGTCACTGGTTGGATAGTGCATCTAAATATCTCAAAGGACTTCAGAAACGTCTCACCCTTCAGGTCTAAAAAGATCTACCTAAAACACCATTAAAAATCTGGTCAGAGAATAACTCTGATGGTCCATGAGCAAATAACAGCAACTACCAAACAAGTAGCTCTTCAGCTAGTAAAAATGAATGGGAGAAAGATCAAACTGTGTCAAAACAAAGAGAATTTTTTTACACATGCATATGCAGACATACACACAGACACACAGAAGATGGTGAAGGGCCAGCCACTTGACGTGAACTAAACTTACGTCATGCTTTAAGGGCAGCTAGAGGAATTTAATCCTTGACCCTCATGATATAAATACATTTTATATGGAAATGTAAAAGGAGAGTATTTGGAGGCAACTGACAGGCTCAAAGTTCCTAACTCATCAGCTTCCAGTCTGTAACCACTGGACTACTCCTTTGCATTTGCACATGCTTGAATGGATTTACACTAAGTTTCACTGCTGACAGAGAGATGGTATATTTATGCATCTAGAATAAATAGCAAATGTGCAATCACACACCCCTCAGATGCAACAACCATAAAAGTTAATATAAAAATGATGGGTCAGACTATTCACAGTAAATGGATTTTTCAAGACAGTGGGTATGAGCTTAGTACAGATGTGATTAGAATTCAGCATTGAATTTATAGTCAGTTATTAGTAATATAGAAATAACAAGATAATGATCAGAATGAGCGGGCAACATAGCTCAAATAAAATAAAAACACACTTAAAAAACCTAGAAAACTCCCCCCTCCTTAGACTCTATCTCAGAACGAAACTGACCCTAAAGGCCAAAATCACTTCTCATCTTTCATAAGGAATTAGCCTCATCTAAACCAAACAATACTTCACGGCTTACGAGATATGATTCCATGTAGTAAGAGTCATTTTAAAGTGTGATTTGGATACAGCAAACACTGTCACTTAGGTACAAACAGTTCAGGGCACTTGGCTTTCTTGATAGCATACAAAAAACATTTATGAAATTACCAAAAAGAAAGCACAGCTGATTTCAACTTTCAGCTATACAGAAAAAAAGTTAACCTTAAAATAAATACAGAAAAATCTGACTACTGCTACACAACTATGAACCACTTTTGTTTTATTGACACCTTCTTGTAAAGAGGAAATTGCAAGGCAAAGTTAGTGACAAACATCAAAAGAAGAAAACACAGACCAGTTCTGTACATTTTGGCATCATGCTCAACCCCAGAACAAGCAAGCAACAGTAACCCCCGCTCTCCCTGGGGAAAAAAAAAAAAAAAAGAAAAAAAAAGAAAAAGTACTATAAGGGAAAAAGCATTGATGTTAGGAGCATGCATTTGCAGAAACGACCAAATATAAGAAAACCACAGAAAAAAAATGAAAAAAAAAAATAAAAAAAGGCTACAAGCAAACAAGCAAGAATTAAAAAAAAAAAAAAATCAGTTCCCAAACCGAACACACACAATTTTTCTGGCCAATCAAAAATTACTCACATGTTCAGTAGTATCATCATATTCCCACTGATTGAGAGTAAAGAATATTGGAAGGAAAAACAAAAGAAATGAAGAGATTTGTAGCCTGGTTGACGTAATGTTTTCTTCTTAATAGTAAAATAAATATGAAAGATGTCTGGAAAAACCATGTACAATTTGAATTAACTGTGTAGAATCACACTGAATTTGATTAATGGAATCAGGCCAGGCATTTTTAATTCCATTTCTGCTGTCCCTGAAAACCTGCCACTTCTATTTCCTTGAAAGATGAAAGAAGTAATGAATTCTCTTGTACCATGTAGTAATATTTTATAATAGATTGTACTACTAAAAGCTACCAAGGAAGAATTAAAAGCTACCTGGTATACTTAATAATGTTACTAGACTATACTCGTTTCCTAAATAAAATCAATGCCTCATTTAAATTAATAGCAAGATTTTTTAGTCCTGACACCTAACCACACTGATCTTCTACCACCAAGGTCTTCATACCTGCACAAAACCTGATCACATGCATCACAGAAGTGTGCTAGGCAGGAAGGAATGCCATGAGGAGAAACGAGCTGACGATCCAGAGTGAACCCATGGCAAGCAGGCAAGTCAAAGCCAAACTTGGCAAAAAAAGAAAAAAAATTATTTTTGCCTTTATGATATTTGGGCTCCAACATCTCACTTAGTCTTGTTTCTGACCTTGCTGTTTTTATAATGACTTTAAACTACTACCACACAGAGGCTGAAAGTAAAATTCTGTGCAAGGAAAGGGAGAACCGAAGTGCAGCAGCATCCCGTTTTCCATGTCCTCTCCCTTTTTGCTTTCCCTTCCCACCTCTTTCCATCTTTCTCTCCACTGAATTTAAGTCACAATAACACCAAATTTGCCAAATAATTAAGTACATATAGATAGACAGACAGACTGGCAGGTAAAACTGCAACAAAGACCTCCAGCAACAGAGACAATACTTTGAGAATATGGTCATCAGCAAAACGCAGGTGTAGGAGATCTGTTTGCAAAAAAGGTACCTGCTGAGCTGAAATTTAGAACTAAGACTGGAAGAAGAAACAAAAGAAGCCAAAAAACATTAACGTAACATGCTTAAGAGGCAAGTTTGACTATTTACTTTATGCCAGGTTGATAATTTCTTAATAATTTCCTGTCATTCCAGTTATATATCAAGAGCTAGAAGTGAGAGGTGTGTACTTGTTAATAGCTTCAGTACAGAATAACTCCTTCAGCACCAGGAGCTTTGGGAATCTTCAGTTTTACAGAGCACCAGTGTATCTCAATCAGTAAAATCTTATTTTTAGAAGCTTCTTAATCTTGATGTCATCAGGCTTTTGTTTTCATCATGTCTCATAATTTATAAAACCGATGGGAAATTTTGCAACACAAGTAACCCCATGCCTATTTAAACTAAACTCCTCATTTTATTGTACAGTTATTGATATGGCTAACGACAAGTATAAATATCTTGGTGATCTCTAAAGTGGTACAAATAAATTAATTTTCTGCGGAACATGTGGTGAGGATACATGTTAATGACAGAAACACTGTAATAACGGGCTAACACAGGCTTCTAATGATTCTAGGTACTCCGTTAAAACAAATAAATATCAGGTGGGGGGATCAAGCAGTGCACAGCTTGCTACACTGACTGTGACCTGGCTGCAGATCTCCCTGATGCTTTAAAACTTCACAGAGCACAGGTACAGAGTGAAGTCTCCAGGTTTAAAGGAGCCAGCAGAATGACACAGTTTAGCATCTAGTTTGGCCCAAGAACCTTAAACATAAGTATTCTGAAAAAAAGAAGTTGTTAAAATAGAGATAAAAAGTGTTAGCTGGTAGACTGGAATATAGAAAGAAAAAAAAAAAAAGGCAGTTCTGGATAGCCCTCTGGTACACAAAATGTCTTCACTGTGATGTAGAAAAGAACATAAAATGTCCTAATTACCTGTGCATCAGCCAGCATGATGTCCTTCAGCATGGGCTGACCCTTTGGCTCTCCATTTTCCATCCTCACGTAGTGGACCTGGTATCCTCGGATCTGACCATGCTGCTTATTGGGTACAGGCGAGCGCCATGAGACTTTAACAGCAGTAGAGTTGACAGCCTCTACCTCGACTTTGCGAGGAGGCCCACTAGGAACTGGAACAACATCATTGGACAGAAGAGAATTACAGGCACCTGTCCCACCCATGTCTTTTGGTTTTTTTAAAAAAAACGGGCAGGCTTACTACGTTTTCTTTGAAGAATACAAATTGTTCAACAAATGAAAATGCTCAACCAGTCTGCTCTACCTCTCAGTGAAAAGATCAAAAAACATGACTGATGCAAAAAATGGAAGACAAAAGAGTATTAGAGAAATAGAAAAACATGTAAAAATGTACAAAAGCCAAGGAAGATGCTTTGAGATTCAAAGCATTACAGTACAAAGAGATATTTTAATCATTGAAATAATAATAATACTAATAAAAACACAAGAGATTTCAAAAAAACTTTTCCTTATTTTTGTTTGCTAAATTCTTTGTTTTGCTTTTTTTTTTTTTTTCTCTGTAGTATAAAAAGGAGGCTGATATTAGGGCTGTCTTCTGTCACTTTCAAGCATGGAAGAAAAGAAAAAGTGCGAAGCATCAGTTTTCCAATATCAAAAACAAAACTGAAAAAAAAACCAAAACCAACCCTAAAAAAACCCAAATCAGAAAGCACAACATGGAAGAAGAACATAGTTAAAAAGAAAAAAAAACCAAAACCATAAACCTGAAAAAAAGCTCATAGACATAAGTGTTTAAAAATAACAATGACTGTAAAATCAAGGAAAAGGCAGAAAGATTTTCCCCTGAGAGTTATTTTCATGTTAAAGGAGAAGCAAGAAGGATATGTATGGGCTCAGAGGGGCAGTAGAATCACGTCACACACAAAAAGTTACTTTCTGTTAAAAAAAAATAAATCTATATACAAATGGTGTATAAAGGACAAGTCTTTGATTAAAAACTCAAAGCGTGATAATATCTGTGATTTGGGAAAAAAGAGGAGCAGAAAAAAATAGTGTTAGCCTACAGAAAAGACAGCAGATCGACAGAGTCATAGGAGCTCAAACTGATGTAGTGGAGGCAACATACCATCTTCATCTGTCCGAATCAATACTGCTAAGCTCTCTGGGCCAGGTCCAACATCAGTGTGGGCAGTCACAGAGATCCGGTACTCAGTCCATTTTTCCAGCTGTTCCAAAAGGTATTGGGTACTGTCCGAGGAAATTCCCAAAATTTCATGGGCCTTGACATCTTCTCCATCAATCCCAATGTACTTGATGGAGTATTCAGTGATAATGCCGTTCTGTTTTTCCACCGGTGGAGGTTTCCAACTTACCAAAATGCTAGTGGAGCTGGGGCTTGTGCAACTAATGTCTTGAGGAGGAGCTGATGGCTCTAATTTCAGCAGTGGGTTAAAGGAGCATTTGAGTGAAAGGATAGGAGTGATTGAAAAAAAATGAACAAAAGAAAAAATAAAAATAAATAAAAGACAACTGAATGAAAATAAAAAAGAAACAAAAAAATTTAAAACTTAAAAAAGCAAAACGTCAGACAATAATATGCACCTTGGCTTATTAACATGAGGAAACTGAAAATGAGTAGACTAGCTAAATGGTGAAAAAGAATGTAGGGGAAATACATGAAAGTGAAACCTCAAAATAATATTACCTACCTGTAATTAAAAATCTTCTTGAAATAAAACAAAAATGTGACACTTCTATGACTACTGATCTATCTTATAATCATTGCAATTAGTGCAAGCTGTAGTATTTTAAATAACATGTGACATGTATTTACTTACAAATTTGGACATATCCTCTTCATGTGGGTTTACTTGCTTTGAGAAAAATTCTCTTTATACAGAACACCTAAAAACTTGCAATAATTGCTACAAATTGTTCCATAAATCGCCATTTTTGTAGCCTCCTCACACTCATAAACAAATTATTATTTTTTCCATTTTTTTTTATAACTGAGTTGCCTGGCACAAGTCAACAACAAATTATGTTTAAATGGAAAGCATTTACCAAAACATTTATTGTAGCCAACATACTAGGAGCATGCAGTCAACAGAAGAGGAAGAAAGTCTCAGGCAAAGATTTACCTACCAGGAAAAAGTGACAGGCTTGTTGATTCTGACTGTAACTTGTACTTACCCTAGATCAGCTGTCAGTTTTATTTTTTTAACTCCTCTTGGAGACACCTTTGCTAGCAAAGAAGTAAATCCTACCAGTAACGTAGGTAACTTCTATAGGTTAAAAAAAAAAAAAAAAAAAAAAATCTACCCCCAAACAATGTGTCAAGAAAGCAGGTATTCATTTTACAAAGAGAGTTCATAAGCTCAGCACATCAGAATGGTGAGAGATTTTGACTTTTTTTTGTCTCTTGTCACCAGCATCAGTCTTCGAGAGCAGAAGTGCTCACCTTTACTGATTTGTACTCGAAGGAGTCTGTTAGCATATTTACCTTTTCCAGGCTCTAGAGCATTTAAGCATGTACGTCATTCCACTGCTTTCAGTGAGGCAATTCAAGTACTGAAAGTTAGGTATGCATTTATGTGCTTAAATGCACTTTGATTTAGCTAAGTCTATGCTTACTAACGGAAATAATTCAGAGCACCAAAAAAGGATTCATAGTTCTAATTTACTGGCAGAAGTAGTGGATGTAGACTCCTTTCCTACTTCTGCCTTCTCTCTTGTAAGGAAAACAAAAATTTGGGGTGCAAGATCTTTGTGGCGCTTTGTCTTTTGGTAGTGGTGGTTTTCTAATCTACTATTTTCTACCTATTTCTGAAGGGAAAAAAAGAAACAAAGGGATTCCTGGTACTTACACTAGGCACATCAAACAAAATTAAAGCGAGAGAGAAGGCCTAGGACCCTGCTGTGACCTGTTGCATTTACACATGTATCTTTCAGCTCCCTACTGCTCTTCTACAGGGATCAATGGCTTTTTACTCAGTATGGCACACTGCTCTTCTGAAGGGAAAACAGGAGGGAATGTACCAGCATTTCAACTAACTAGAGGAGGTGGATGGGGGGACAGATGGGAATCATAACATTTGGGCTGTTTTTTTTTTTTAGGCTAATTCAGTAATCAAGTACTCAAAACATTTTAGTCCTCTTTTACCATTGACTTGTGCAGAAAGTAAAATACAAGTAAAATGTCCCTTAAGGATCTTATATGTAAAGAAATAAATCCCTGTAGTATCCTTCTCTGAAACCAAGATGAAAGGCAATAGCATATTCTGGTATCACTGCTAACAAACGCATAGAAGTTTATTACTTTTTAATCCATTATACTCTGAAAATGCAAAGTACGGCATTCATACTGTAGGGTACTTATGTAAGCAGTTTTATGAATGCATGCACTTTTTTCTTAAAATGCAAAAGCTTTGCAAAAAAAAAGATTTTGCAACCTTTACAGCAAATAAACAGGGTCTGCCCACAGAAATCAACTGGATTTTCCTACTATCTGAAGACATATGGCTGAAAAAAAAACATAACATATTCTTATATTCAAGAAGGGAAAAATGGCAATATGCTTATATATGGAACATGCAACCTTTGCCCCTAGATGTTTATTTGGTATGCACAGACTAAGTAATCTTTACCCACTATAAGAGAATAAGCACTCTAAATAGCTGAAATCGCTCCCAGAATAAATGAATACCTTCTTCTTCATAGAATTATTGATTCTGGATTTCTAAAATTAAAAGGTGCCTTGCTATCTAAAGGCACTATCTCTAAAACTAGCCTTGTGCTATACAACTGTCTTTTATGCTTATTCCAAATGCCTTAGAAATGCTTCAGAAGCACATTTAGCTTCGGTTAAAGGTCTGCAGCACTGTATCTCCAGTCACACTAATTACTATTAATAGAGAACACTAACAAGAATGATGGTGTAATCACCTCTGTCATGACTGCAAATTAAGAAGTCCCATGTTAACCAAGAATCTGAATTTCGGTTTTGAATAATATTACTTTAAGAAAAGGTCATTTAATTTAAAACAAATACAAACAGAATTGCACTAAGTTTTAAAATGACACAGTGTAATGCAAACTGTCAGGAAAGAATAACTTATCAAGCAAGAGCAGCACTTCTGGACATCATCCTTGAATATCTGATTGTTTTAATTAAGTCTTAATTTAAATATTTTAAAATGTATATATAAATCCCTGAAGAATTTTTGCATCTCATTTGCAGACAAATGTGATGAGTTTCATGACATTGTTTCTATAAGCATCCAGTGAGGAAAAAAAAAATAAAATTGCTGGTGTAAAAAATGACTGAACACCATAAAAAGGCTACATTAAAAAAATCTAACTTAAAATCAGAATGATTAGCCACTCCAGAAGAACAGATATGAGGAAATTTTTGGTGCAGTCTGAAATATTCAACCTGAACCACTCCACAAATCTTTTGTACTTCAGAAAGATACTGCATGAACAACCTAGTATTACAGGAAATCTGCAGACTGGGCAGGTGGAACTTTATGAGTGGAGGACTGTTATTAATGTACATCTACTGCGTGGTAAAATATTTTATCCTATTATAAAATAAAATAAAATAAAATAAAATAAAATAAAATACTACTATGACAGCATAATATTGTCTCCTTAGACACCAGTTTACAGAGTTTTTTTTCTGAAACTATCTAAGTGCCCTACATCAACGACATGATCAACTACATGAAGTTCGTCACAACACACCTACAAACCCAGATATTTTAAGCATTCTTTTGCTGTATTAAGCACCATAAATACTGTATTTTTATAATTTTGCCCTTTTCTCTGTTGCTGCCTCTCTGGGCTACTGGGATTAATCTCTTTGAGAAATACAAGTCAAGCCAATAAAGTTAGCAAGGAAAGACACCTACTTGACTGCATGGTTCTTGCTGAGATTTCTGCTGTTGAAGCACCCAGGCCTTGTGGAGAACGTGCAGCTAGACGGAATAAGTACAAGCTGTTTGGCCTTAAGCCTTGCAGGCGATAAGACGTAGCAGGTTCAGTGGAAACTCGTTGCTAAAGGTAGGTAATAAGAGGATGTCTTGATTAATATTCAGAGAATTCAATTTGTTGCCTATAGAAGAAATGCTTTTGTACTCTGATGATAATCCCATTGACAAAAATTTAAATTCAAGAAATTAATTCAGAGCAAAACCAAACTAAAACAAAACAAAAATGAATACACTACTTTTGACAAACGCATATTAAGCAACAATGTTTTTAAAGTCTGCAGCTTAATGGGTCAAATTCAGAGCCAGAAATACTGTTTGATTGTTTGAGGAAGTAATAGCTGTGTACAACATAGAAAAAGCTTTTCAGGTAATAACACACAAACAAAGCCTTACCTATACCCTGGAGAACAGGAAGGTAATTTGAGACAGCCAGTATGGCTTCACCAAGGGCAAGTCCTGCCTTACCAACTTAGTGGCTTTCTATGAGGGAGTGACCACATCAGTGGACAAGGGAAGACCCACGGACATCATCTATCTGGATTTCTCCAAGGTCTTTGACACGGTCCCCCACAACATCCTTCTCTGTAAACTGAAGAGACATGGATTTGACGGGTGGGCTGTTTGGTGGATAAGAAATTGATTGCATGGTCGCTTCCAGAGGGTAGTGGTCAATGGCCCAATGTCCAGATGGAGATCAGTAACAAGTGGTGTCCCTTAGTGCTGTTTAATATCTTTATCAATGACATAGATTATGGACTTGAGTTCACCCTCAGTAAATTTGCAGATTACAACAAGCTGAGTAGTGAGGCTGACATCCCTGAGGGACAAGATGCCATCCAGAGGGACCTTGACAAGCTGGAGAAGTGGGCTTGTGAAAACCTCATGAGGTTCAACAAGGCCAAAGGCAAGATCCTACACACGGGTTGGGGTAATCCCTTGTACTGATACAGGCTGGGGGATGAAGAGATTGAGAGCAGCCCTGCAGAGAAAGGCCTGGGTGTCCTGGTGGATGAGAAGTTGGACCTCAGCCAGCAGTGTGCAATTGCAGCCCAGAAAGCCAACCGTATCCTGGGCTGCATCAAAAGAAGCGTGGTCAGCAGGTCAAGGGAAGTGATTCTGCCCCTCTACTCCGCTCTGGTGAGATCACACCTAGAGTAGTGTGCCCAGCTCTGGAGGCCTCAGCACAGGAAGGACATGGACCTGTTGGAGTGGGTCTAGAGGAGGGCAACGAAAATGATCAAAGGCCCGGAACACCTCCCCTGTGAGGTGAGGCTGAGAGAGTTGGTGTTGTTCAGTTTGGAGGAGACTCTGAGTAGACCTGAATGTGGCCTTTCAGTACCTAAAAGGGGCTTATAAGAAAGATGGGGATAAAGATTTTAACAGGGTCTGTAGCAATAGAACAAGGGGTAATGGTTTTAAACTAAAAGAGGAGAGGTTTAGACTAGATACAAGGAAGAAATATTTTATGCTCAGGGTGGTGAAACACTGGAACAGGTTGCCCAGGGAGGTGGCAGATGCCCCGTCCCTGGAAACATTCAAGGCCAGGTTGGATGGGGCTCTGGGCAACCTGATCTAGTGGAAGACATCCCTGCTTACTGCAGGTTGGTTGGGCTGGATGACCTCCATTGTCCCTTCCAACTCAAATTATTCTATGATTCTACAGTTACCTCTTATAACAGTGAACTACAGGGTTTTATAATGTGACTGATCTTGGGTTTAATCTTGTAGTTAAATCTGTGTTCAAACTATTAAGAAGCAAATTCTTCCAAAGAGTAACTTATTAAGCAGGCACTTGCATCCTGTTTTGAGGTGAAATACAAATCTGGCCACCTTCCACAAAATAAGCTTATCCATTCACAGTATACGTGTGAAGCTGCCATAAACTCAGTTGAAGCATCAGCAATGAGCTGAAGATGCAGGCTGACACTCTCCTGCTGCCTTCTGAGACTGACAAGTTCTTTCTTTTGTCTGGGACGTCTGGCAATATCACATGGTTTCCATACAGAAGAACAGCTTTATTCTAAAGTCTACAGTACTAACACCAAGAGGCCTTCAAACTGAAAATTCTTTAAGAAATAGTGGTACAGAGAAAGTCCATAGCAGGTTTTTATCTTTAGAAAAAAAACAACATATTTTCTTCTCAAATACTGAAAGACTAGAGAAGCTTAAGAACTCTCTTACATGCTGACAAACGGAAACAAAAATTCTCTAAGGCTGAACATAGACTTCAAAGTCCAAGTATAAGTGCAAAAAAATCTTAATGAGTCCATAAGACGCCCTCAAACACTTCTGCTTCCAAATCTTTGTAGAGGAACAGGCTTGGAGAGACACAGTGTCTGAAACTGGATGCAACTTCTGCAGATGACTTGTTGTGAACAACAGCAGACTTTCACTGGTTGGTAACCATCAATAGTATTTTCTGCTGTTTACACACTCTTAGTCTATTGTTAGGCTGACTGCTGGGTTTAACAAACTGTTAAACATCAAGGCATTTATACTACAGAAAGTTACTAATTCAGCATTTTACACCTGACTCATTAAAGAGTATTTAAAAGACGTACAGTCTTTTCACTTACCTCCTCCCCGTGCTCCCCATCTTTGTAAACCAGTTCATAGCTGGAAATGGTATCAGAGCGTGGAGGTGTCCAGGAAAGTAATATGCTTGTTTCAGACTCAGGTTCCGCTTTGAAGTTCAATGGCTGACCAGGCACTAAAGAAAAAGTTGAGCAGTGTTGCCAACTGTTCAATTGGCTAGTTGAACATGTACCTTTCAAACCTTTTAAACTATTATCTGAATATTTAACGTAACATTACTTTTCATGAACTTACTGAACTTAAACAAATTGTTTAACAGTACTATAAAATAAATTAATCTGAGCTCAGAAAAAGGATAATGATATATTTCATTCACACATTACAAATTATCAACAATTTCAAATAAATGCTTTGTGGTGTAAATAATGCACACAGTACTGAAATGCAATTGAACAGAAGCCTGCTGAGTAATACCAGCAATCTAATATTCTGTGTGTGAAATGGTGACTATATAGACGTATATATGTGTGTGTGTATGGGGAAATGCTAGTATTACATAAGATTGGCTGGAATAGTCAAGAAGAAAGTGTTTAAACCACTACACACATCTCCAAATCTGAAAATGGTTTGCTCAGCTCATAAATAACTAAGATACTAAACACATCCTGCTCTTTAAGAAGACACCTAAATATTGAATGTTTTCGCAACCTTAAGAATTTACAACCTACTGAAGAGATCTTCAGTAATGTTCTCAGTAGGTGACATACTTCTACCCTTTCAATGACTGGTATTTTTACCAATATAACTGAATTTCTAGTAGCAACACTTTCTAACTGCAAGAACTAAACAATGCAACTTTGATTCCAGTAGCCAAGAACATTCTCTGTTGTTATGTCTTGTGTAATGGTCACAAAAATTATCCAGACAAAATGTTACCCTCATTTACTTCTGCAAATCTATGGCAAATAATAAGGTTGACAGGCAAAAGACAGGAAAATATAACCCTGTCATTGGAATGTATACAATCATTTTGGCACCCAAGTTCTAAAACATTACTTTCAGTTAATAGTGCTGAAGGCAGGAAACAGTCTTTCACAGCTTTTCAAGAAAAGAATGTGGCATGCTCTTATTATTTAAGCAAAAAAAAAAAAAATGAGATGCACTTCTTAGTACATACTGAGAACAGGTGTGACAAGTAGGATGTGACAATAATGATTATTTCACAATTATTTTATAGGGTAGAATTTTATTACAGCACTACAAGTACATTTCTTTTGTACATCTAAAGACTTAAAAACACCATGGAGCAAACGGTAAAAATAATTCGTAATTGCAATTCTTATCTTCCCCAGACTTCTACAGAATGTCACTCTGAGGATAACACTGCCCTCATGTACACTGGTTCAGGTTTGATACCTAACCTTTAAAAAGACAGATAACCTGTCAGCATGAGGTGCATATTCAAGCTATGTGGAGGTTGCAAGTCCCTACATTCACTTACTTTTTTACAGAAACAGGACAAAATAGAAAAGGAAAGGTGCAGAAGGATGTTGTCTGTTTCTGAGGGTGTGAGTGAGGATGAACAGGAGACGAAGTCTCTTTATGGGAATCAAAAAGGATAGGCTTAATTAGCTATTTTTCTAAAAGATGTCTGACGTAAAAAGAGACCACTTCCTGGGTACTGCAAAGTGCAAAACAGAAAAGATCACAAAGCACAGGGAGCAACGACAGTGCTAGACCACTCTCCATCATCTTTGGTAAATCGTGGGAAACAGGGGAGGTGCCCGAGGACTGGAGGAAAGCGAATATCACTCCAGTCTTCAAAAAGGGCAAGAAGGAGGACCCTGGTAACTATAGACTGGTCAGCCCCACTTCCATCCCTGGAAAGGTGATGGAACAACTTATTCTTGATGCTGTCTCTAGGCATATCAGGGATAAGAAGGTCATTAGAGGCAGTCAACATGGCTTCACCAAGGGGAAGTCATGCTTGACCAACCTGATAGCCTTTTATGAGCACATTACCAGATGGATAGATGATGGTAAAGCAGTAGATGTGGTCTATCTCGATTTCACTAAAGCATTTGACACCGTCTCCCACAGTATCCTTGAGGCTAAACTGAGGAAGTGCGATCTGGATGATCAGGTAGTGAGATGGATTGTGAACTGCCTGGAGAAAAGAAGCCACAGAGTTGTGGTGAATGGGATGGAGTCTAGTTGGAGGC